ATCAGAAAGGTTGACAGTTTGGCAGTTCAAATCTCTAGCCCCACATAACGGAGTGAGCTCCCGTTACTTGTCCCAGCTTCTGCCAACCAAAGCATGTAAAAATGCAAGTAGAAAAATAGGAACCACCTTTAGTGGTAAGGTAACAGCGTTCCGTGCGCCTTTGGCATTTAGTCATTCTGGCCACATGACCACGGAAATGTCTTTGGACAGCGCTGAGTCTTGAACTTTGAAACTGAGATGAGCACCGCCCTCTAGCGTCGGGAATGACTAACACATATGTGCGAGTGGAACCTTTACTTTTACCTTTATGCTCCCTGCCCCTCCAATCTCCGGAGTCTCCAGAGAATTAGGCAGCTGATAAATTTAAGTTAATTAATTACAATAATTCAAAATATCTGATTAGTAAGCATGGTAGCTAGTTCTCAATATTTTCATTATAAACTTATAATGAGCCACATGTTTGGCAGTCATCTTCTCCTGTAAATTAGGGTAACAAATCTGGGCTCCAACAATTCAGATGATCAACAGATGGCAGCAAAAAGGAACATAAGACTCCTTGATTCTACCTAGCGATCATCCATATTTTGCAGGCCAAATTTATTAGCTTTAAATCAAAGGTTTCCAAATTGGTGTATGTGATGATGTGTCAAGGGGGACATGATCATGCATTTTTTAAAAGAAAAAGAAATAGATTGGCAACATTTATGAGGGTGGGCAAAATTGATGGGATGGAGGGAAGTCGCTATGGAGTTTGGCGAGTGCGCAGTAGATGTCTGTGCTTGAATAGGCCCATGAAAAGATTGGCAAGAGGTTGCTTGGAGAAAGTCCATTGTATATAATGGTTCATATCAGTGTATAATGGTGAGGCTTTATGAAGCATCTCAATAAAGCTGCCTGCAATTTGAAGAAAGGTCGATGTGACCATGGGAAGAGAGCCTGAAATAGCCAGCAGCTGCCTCATATAAGGCTACTCTGGGCATGCAGTAGTGGAAGACAACATCAAAGGTTTATCAGAGTTTGCTGCAGAAAATCACTTCCAGAAAGCACACACAGCTGGATTCATTAGCTTCTTTATATACAGATTAACACATATGTATAAATGTACAATATCAATATAGGTTTTCTCCAACGTAATAGTAGTGACTAGCAAACACAGGCAGCAGCACAGTAGAGAAGAGTTTTCAGTTCAGAGCAGACAGTAGTTTTAGTTTCAATTCTCAGCACAGACTTAGATCTGTTTAAGTTCCTATTGGCTGACTTAGTTGCTATGCCTATTCATTAGCTGACCATGTTACCATGTCTGTCCCAGTTATTCATAACTGGGACAACAAGGTCAGCTGGGTGCAGCAGGACCACTGAAGCACAGGATGGTGGAGGCAGCTGGGACATAGTTCTGTGGCATTGGAATGCTTGGCTGTGGCCTGGGATTGGGGAGTGGCTGGCTGAGACTGCCCTGGGCCTTTATTTCAGCACCAGTACCAATACTGGTACCATAGCAGAGGAATGCTACCATGTAAGGGGGCCAAAAGGGTTGTTTCCCACCCATCCTTTCCCTAGATGGGTGGGGAAAATAGATCGGTGAGGGGAATTCAAGAGGAACACGTTCAAGGTTGAGTCAGCCTTCTATGCTTCTGAGGTCAGTAAAATGAGGACCTAGATTGTTGGAGGCAATATGCTGACATTTGTAAACTGCTCAGATAGTGCTGTAAAGCGCTATGGGGCGATATATGTGTAAGCGCTATTGCTATTCCGAAGCAGAAAAAATGCTTATTGTTCTTGGTTCACAACTCTTCACAAATGTTAGAGAAACGAAAATGTTTTCAATTCACTTAATGACCTATCAACAAGTCCTGTGAATCTAGGATTTAGTGTTGAAAGGGAAAACATATTTATGGAGTTATCAGCAAATGGGTTGGGTTGTGAAGCCTAAAAAGCCTTTTCCTTACCAATATGGTATCACAGCATGCCAGCATTTGAAGGCTTTTCCTGACTGAATTGATGTAAACCTAAATTGCCTACCACACATGAGATGTGGCCTTCATGGCCACAGGAGACCTAAGTCCAGCCCATTGTGAATTCCTTATTTACCACCAAATTGCTTTAATGGTTAATAGTTCAGATTTTTGTAGAGAGCTTAAACTTCCAATAAATCTTTATAGTCATTTGTCTGGATCTCCCTGGCGTTTGACATGATAATTGCTATGATAATTGCCTCAGTAGCAAGGTGTGGATTTTGTACTGATCACAGATAGTACTATTTTTCTATGTACAAATGACCAAGCTCTATTTCAATATGTTCAAGGTTTTTTTCTTTCTGCCTAGATATGGGATCAAACCACCTGGATTGCTGTGACAGATACAAATACCTTTACCTTGTGAACAGTTCTGGCTTTAAATATGCTTGCAGGTCAGTTTAAGCCCTTCAAAGCATCAAGGGCAGGTTATCTGAGGAAGCCTCACTTTCCAATGGTCTCGACATCAGGTGTGGCAGGAAGGTAATGTTCCAGCTCCTGTCAATTTGGAAATCCCATCTTGTTAGACTCAGTAATGAAATGACACCTGCCACTCAAGGTCAGTTTAATCTTGGACCTGCTACCCATTTGGAAAGCCCTTAAGATTTGTCTGCTTTTCTGTTTTGGAGGTTGAGAAATTAGGTGAACCAATAATACGATATTGATTTACTCCATTGCCATTTTATGTTCTTTTGTTCAGGATGCTTATTTTAATATTCTGTAGCGATATTCTATATGTTAGCCACCCAGAGTCATGTTTGCAAGATGAACAGCCCATACATCAATTTAAATAAATAATAGATTACATCTATAAGGCAGGAATGCTGACTTATTTATTTACTTCAAAGTCAGATGAAGTGGAAGAAGTTAAATCTTAACGCAGTGAATTTAGAGTTGAGGAATATTTTTTCTATATGAAGATGTTCAACCCGTCTTAGAAGGAATCATGTTTTTTTTCTAAAAGATCAAATGTGAAATCAGCTTAACCAGTTGTTGGTGTGAGATGAAAACAGCTAGTCCTTGACTTACAGCTATGACTGTGACTGTTAGAAGTTAAATGCCACTGAAAAAGTGACATGACCATTTTTCACACTTATGACCATTGCAGCATCCCTGTGGTTAGATGATCAAAATTTAGATGCTTGGCAACTAACTTCTATTTATGATGGTTGCAGTGTCCTGGGGTCATATGATCACCTTTTGCAATCTTCCAACAAACTCACTCAATGGGAAAACTAGATTCACTTAACAACTGTGCTACTAACTTAACAACTGCAGTGATTCATTTAACAATGGTGACAAGAAAGGTCATAAAATGAGGCAAAGCTAATTTAACAGCTGTCTTGCTTAGCTGCATAAATTTTGGACTCAATTGTGGTGTAGGTTGAGGAATACCTGAAAGTACAGAAATTTTCTGAGAAACAGCAGAGGACCAATGTGATAACCAACTGCACAATTCATTCATCTTGCTCACATCTTGCTTAAAATAGGCACCATGTGGAAGACACAATAACTCTACAGTAAGAACAGTGCATGAGTACATGACCTCTAATGTTTACTTCATCTTTCCAATGGCAGATGTAATGAGAATAAGTTACAATATCTGTCCTTTAATATAGCGGTCCCTAACCTTTTGGGCACCAGAGGGCGATTTGGTGGTTTTGCACGCTGCCTGGATTCCACACGTGCACAGATGCTCACTTGTGCGGTTTGGTTCTTGGTGGGCCACAGACTGGTGCAGGTCCACCTACGGCCTGGGGGTGGGGGGTTGGGTACCCCTGCTTTAACAGATAAAGTTAGTGTGTGCCAACATAAAAGCTGTTTGTTCATAGATATGAGTTTATAAAGAAAATGGGCAAAAGTGGGTTTTTTTCCTGCAACTATCAGGGATTGATGATTTAAGCCAAGGGTCCCCAAACTTGGCAACTTTAAGACTTGTGGACTTCAATTGTTGCCTAGTTTGAAGACCTCTGAATTAAACAATGGAATTCTCAGTACAGCTGAAACCAAACTTGTATCCAGATAGAAAACTGCATTTCATACACAGTGGAGGATTGCAAAGATGGCCCTTAGGAATTTGTACCGAACCACCTCAGATAGACTGATTTCTGAAAATGTGTACCTGGGCTCATACTACAGCAGCCAAGCCACTGATGTAAGCCACAAATGCATCTCAAATGCATCTCAGCTACAAGTGATGTATGTGAGGACTGCTAAAGCGAATAAAATGAAGAATAACAGGAAAATATATGGAATGGTTTTGATATTAAAACAGGATAAATCTACAATTTTCCACTTTGTTTTCTCATTCTCATCTGCATAACACTGGATTGCTAGTCAGCACAAATCGGTAGGGCTGAGAGAAAAGAGAAGCTATATCTCACTGGAAAAAAAAGAAAATAAGCATAACATCAGGCTATAAATTTTCACCAGGAATGCTTCTCTTTCAATCTCAGTGAGTCATTTCTCTCTGTTTGATTAGGATGTCTTGTGGAAAGCCTTCAAGGAAAGACTGAAACATGATCTTACATAGCAGAAGAAGAAGGGAGGAAGGAAAAGAAGGAAGGAAAAGAAAGAAGGGAGAGAGAGAGAAAGAAAGAAAAGAAAAAAGAAAGAAAGAGAAAGGAGAAGAAAAGATAGAAGAGAAGAGAGACAGAGAGAAAGAAAAGAAGGAAAGAAGGCAGGAAAGAAAGATCTGCCTTCTGGGCTTCCTTTCTGAGTGCCTCGACAGAGGGAAATATGAATAAAAGATGATGTGCTGCGCTTTACCGTTGCGGCGGAAGATAACTTGGCTGAGCCGCCCTGCTCACCTGCTGAAATCCTTAAGTTACAGCGAGGCAAGCGCGGGCGGGGAGGTTGGGAGGGGGGTAGTGGAAGAGGGGCCGGGAGAATTCCCGCGAACGCTACTCGGTTGAATGGTGGAGGCTCATTGGAGGAAGACAGCTAATCTCACTCCTCCCCTTTTCCCGGCCGAAGCGCCGGCCTTCGAGGGGAGGACCCGAGAGACCAGGAACTTCACGGAGCGCCTCTGTCTTTTTTCATGTCGGCGGCAGAGCCATTATGCTCTCGCTACCATCATGAGCCACTGGTCTACTTCCCAAGGAGTCGTCCTAACAGCGTATCATCCCAGCAGCGGTAGCCGCCGACGCCGCTGCCTCGAGGACGCCCAAGAGGCGCCGGGAGCCGATGCCGAGGCAAATGCCGAGGCGTCCCCCTTAAGGTAAGAGTTGGCGCTCCCACGCGATCTCGCTTGAAAAGGGGAAGCCTGCTTAGCCGGGCGTCCGGGTGGCGCAAGACCCGAGCTCGCGTACCTGTTGACGTAGACGGGCTGCTGGGAGCCAGGTACGACGGACTTAGCCGCGGTGTGCCGTGAATCATATGACCAAAGTTTAAATGTCAGAAGAAAGCCTTGGAAGAGCAGCCTTGAGTGCTACTTCTGCTGCTGGACCCTGTGGCGAGCGTGCAACAAATGTGCGTTGGGAATAGCCTCTGTTGCTTACTAAATAATATTGCATGCAGAAGTAATTCGTAATCAAACACGCTAAACCGTCTTCTCAGATGGTCTGCGGGCCATATTTTTTTTTTTGGCACCGAAAAGTGAGGCAGCCGAGGAAGCTATGGGTTCGCATGTGTCAGCAGCAGCCGTCTCAACACATTCTTTCTCTGTTCGATAGTTAACCCCCAGGTCCGCATGCTGAGTGTTTCCAGATGTATTTCCCCCACTTATATTTAAGTAATTCTACACCCCAGAAAATACTTTCCTTTAACCAAGGGGATTCTGTAATATAGTGGGTGAGCAAGTATTAGGCGTGTGTGCCAGTCTACTCTTGTTTCTCCCCACAGGAGGGAAAAAGCAATTTCCTAGATTACATTAAAATGCAATTTAGTTGTATCAAAAAGTTAAATAAGTGCAAGCTTTATTTTTTTAAAACCAATAGCTTGATGAATAGGCTGTCCTTTAAAATCCCTTTCACACAGATTTCAGAAGTGCAGTAGACTTTCCTGGTATGTGTACTTTGCTTCACACAGCCCCTCCCTCTGCCACCTTATTTTTCCATAATGATCTCAGTTTTTCCTTTCTACCTGTCTCTGAATTGATAGTGTATGAAAAATATTGATTGCATAAGTTTTGTTCAGAAAAAAAAACCTTCCTTCAGAGACAAATAAATTAATCCAGTTGTTGCAAGACATTTGGGTTGAAAAAGGCTGGCATGATTTAAGTTTCACTGGAGTAATCAGGACTGGGATATAATCAATTCTGTTATGGAGAGGTAGTTGTTCTCTGCATAATATTGGCACTGTGCAATGTTCCGTATTTCTTTAAGCTTCAAAAAGATGGACTTGATGTGAAGTTGTTTATTCCAGTTTAGTTGTTACCTTTGAATGATGCTTGTAGAAGAGCTAGAAATGTACAGCATCAGATCTGGATTGACAGATATGGTGGTCTGACTACAATTGACTTCAGAATTTCTGCCATATAACATTATGGACCTGACTCAATTTTACAATTATTTTTACAATGGTCATGAAGTGAATCACTAGAGCCGTTAAGCAAATCACATGATTATGAAAGAAATCCATTGTTCCAAATGGATGTTGTTTGCCAGAAATTGGCAAAGAAATGCTAGAAACTGGCAAAACATAGCAAAGTGCAGTCATGTGATTGTGTGACATTGCAAGCAGGCACTAGTCTAGAAAGCAGGAAACCATGAGTTCTAGTTCCACTTAGTCACAAATCAACTGGGTGCCTTCTCTTAGTCCCAGGAACGAAGCAGTGCCAAACCACTTCTGAAAACACCTTGCCAAGAAAATTGCAGGGACTTTCCAGGCAGTCACCAGAAGTCAACAATGATTTGAAGACATCCAAAATATAATATGTATATATGGCTAGAATTGTATACCGTTAAAATTTTTAAAAGATATTTCTTACTTGAAGGTACTCCCATATCATTTCTTCATTTCTATGGCATAAACACTTCCATACACAAGCATATTTGAATTCTCTCAGTGAGTTCACTCTCTTTTATGTACTAAAAATAATGTGCATAGAGTCTGTACTGGTTTAAAACTAAAATAAAGGCTTTTTCAGTCATTTCAATGACTTCATCATTGGAATTGGAAGACATTTACTTCAAGGATACTAGGCTATAATGGAAAAAGTCTCAAAAATACTTAAATATTTTCATATTTTCTTTTACATTATAACTGCAGATGTTGAGTGTCTCTAAAAATAAGTTGAGACATTAGCATGAATCTTTTCAATGCCTCAATAATTTTTCAGGAAATGAATTATTTCTTTGTGGTATGGCTTTTTTCTGGTATGTTCAACTTTTGGTTTGGAACCAGGATGGCAATATGAAGGAAATGACCGATGTACTTAATGAAATCAGCATTTGCATTGTTAAGGAGAAATTTAGACCTGAGCATCCGAAATTCACAAGCTTGCCAAAATGTAATATTCTTTAGGATAGGAAGGAAGTGAAGGATCCCAAATGTGCTCTTGAGTTGCTACATACTGTTTTCCAAGTTATCTTCCCACTCCAAATATAGATAATTGGCTTCCATCCCTGAAACTTGCGATAAACCTGTGAATAAGTTGTGAGTTCCATCTGTCTCTTCTTACAAACTTGACTTACAGCAAAGCAAGATGTCGCTTTGATATAAAAAGTTGATGAAGCTCGAACTCTATATAAATGTGAGGTAAATGCGAATTTGAAGAAAGTTTGTAGAACCTACTGTCTAAAGGGCATTCATGGGTCAGTGTTTTGAGGCATCCTTCTCTATTTGCTGTTGCTATTGTTACATTCAACCTGATTCAAAACATTTATGCAGCAGAAAATGAAAATAAGCCCGGAAAGCAAAAATATATCTGATGATAGCAGTTGCAAATTATAGACATATCCAAAGTTGAGCTCCAAAAATAAATGGTGGTATTGTGGTTTGATGTCCTGTGGAGTAGTGGAAGAGTTTAATATGATGTTGGTCCAAGAAAGAAGGGTGTGCTGCATACTTTGTCTTTTAATGGCAAGGAGTTGCCAGTTATTTGAATCTGAAAACCGTATAGATGTTCCCCCCCCCCAAGAAAAAACAAAACATTAGAACTCATTTAGTAAAGGGCTTTTCAACCACAAATTTCTGGGTATCTTGCCTAGTTTGGTGAGACTAATGTTCATTCTTGTACATGGAACAATGCAAGTTCTTTACATTTCTTCAAGATAGACTTTTGTTTTGCAGTTGCCCTGTCCCAGACACAGGAAGTTATGATTGGTCTTGCCTCTGTTCCCTTCCTGTGTTTTTTCTTCAATTTTCCTGTCTCTTGTTCTTTCTGCAAAAAAATGGATAGAAAAATGGAAGCTGCACATTACCTGTTGATTGATAGTGCTAAGAGACAATCATTTGGAAGCATCACTGGTCTTGACAGAAAATAAACACAATTAGGTAGCCCATGACCCATTGATATTTCTTTACCAGCTTCTGCATTGACAACAATGCCAGAACTGCTAACATACTGCCTTCATTCGAAACGTATAGCATAATCAAACATCAGTGCAGGCAATGTTTATGACATGTTGTTTTATGTTATAACCTGTTTTATGATAATGTTATGTCATTAAATGTTTTACAAAAGTTGCCAAATTTCAATTTCCTGGGAAGCATGGATCCAGATTTTCAACCCATTCTATAATTTAGCACATTTGAGATATCTTGGTTCTAAATTTATCCTAATGAGGCACCATGTTGCCCAGTTAAAGGTCATAGGAACTAGAGTTTAGTAGTGTATATATTATATAATGGGAAAAATTAAAAACTTTCTCTTAATCCCCCCCACCCCTGAAAGTTACCATGCCTGTTCATCTTTCAGTAATGATCAGATAAGGAAGTAAAGAAGGGTATAATAAAAAAGTAATAGATATATAGCAAAAATAGAAACGATGAAGTTTTCATGCTGAAGGATTCTTAATAAGTCCTTTACAATTATAACAGGAATATTCTCTGACTAACTTTTGCCATTATTTTTATTGTTATGCTTAATGAATTTAATAATACATTATTTAGTTTAATTATGTTTAGATTTTATTATTTTAATTACTGTAGTTTATTAATGATGTTTTTAATTATTACATTACAAATTTTTAATGGTTAGTTGTAAATCACTTTGAATCCATTTGGGAGTATAGAAAGATAAATGTTGCTTAATGTGACATTGTGGGATACAAAATTGATTTAATTTTTCTAGTTAAAACCTTTAAATCTATTTTCTCTTTTCCTCTTTACCCCTCTGTCCTTCCTTTATTTAGCAGTTAACTTTAGATTGTAAGAATCTTGGACTGGGATCTGGCATCTTGTAATTTTAAAAATTTTATGCATGTGGGTGATATTATATAATAAAAGATACATAAAAGTGACAGTGAAATGGTCTAATGAATGGTTTTTCAAAGTGTATTCCATGGAACACTAGAGAGTCTGTGAGATACTAAAGGGTGGAAAATCCTCGTGTTCAAATATCTATTACTAGAACTTGCTTCCTTGTCAATAGTTTTTTTGCTTGAATGTGTCATAGATGGGACCTTAATTTCATGAGAAACATTCATTTTCTTGTTATAAATATGGCTGTAAGAGAAGAGCAGGCAGAGCTGGGGGACAGAGTTAAACGAGTCATCAGCCTAGAGTCATTATGTTCCCACAAATGTTCTAAGCCAACCCCTTTTGATTTATCACAGGCTAATTTAGTTGAGTAGGTTCTGGCATATAGATTCTTGGTTATTTTAATTACTTGTATTCTGTTCTATGTTCCCCTTTTCCCCTTTTGAGTTGTTCGCCGCCCTGAGTCCCTCCCGGAGAAGGGCGGCATACAAATAATAAAATTCAATTCAATTCAATATAGGCTTGAGCAATAACCTTCCGAATTGGGACTTAAAATATGGTCCTGATTCTTTGTGCCCGACAGTGGCAGCTATTATGTCTGCCCCAGCTTTTTTCCCAAAGAGGAGATACCAGGATGAGACCAAAGATCCAGGGCTCACATGAAAGTGGTGTGAAGACTAAAATAAAACCAGTCCATGGAACCTTTGGATTCAGTCTCTGATAAATGATGTAAAAGCCCCAAATAGTCCTACTGCTGCTAGTTGGAGGAATAAAGAGTTGAATGGCAGAGGACTTCCAGATTGTAGAGTTGGTCTCCCTAAGAGAAATGCCTCTCAAGGGATCAGAACCCTGATG